GGGGCTGCCCCCGCTCCAGCTTTCCCCCTGCAGCCTGCTGGCTGTCTGGGGGGAGGCTTTGTGGGCTGCCCCGACCTGCAGTGACCCCTTCACGTGGCCTGCAGGCTATTGGGAGGTGGGGGGTGGACAAAGCTCCATTGCCTGACTGTGGCCTGCCACGTGCTTCCCCCCATAGCCTGCAGGCCTACGGGGGCGAGGCTCTGGGAGCTGCCCCCTCCAGCACTCCCCCTACCCACGGTCTGCAGACTCTCCACAGGGGGGGCAGGCTCCAGGTTTGGGGCAGGGGAGCTACTTATCTGGTCTGGAGGCTGGCAAGATGGCGGAGCACAAAGCTCCATTGCCTGACTGTGGCCTGCCACGTGCTTCCCCCCATAGCCTGCAGGCCTACGGGGGCGAGGCTCTGGGAGCTGCCCCCTCCAGCACTCCCCCTACCCACGGTCTGCAGACTCTCCACAGGGGGGGCAGGCTCCAGGTTTGGGGCAGGGGAGCTACTTATCTGGTCTGGAGGCTGGCAAGATGGCGGAGCCTCGGCCCTGCTGGGCACTGTCTGTAATGAATCCCTCTTCTCTGCGTGCCCCTCCCTTTCGCATCCCTGTTTTCTGCTCCCTATGTCATCAAAAACCGTCCCATTCTTGGCACTTCCTGTTTTCTGGGCACAACCGAACTCTGGCCTGGGTTTGAGTTGGGGTAAGAGGAGGCTGCCTACTGAAATTGGTGGTCCTAACTCTTACAGTTTAGGAGGAGTTCTTGAACAAATGGATTCACAGACAGACTGACTCATAGACAGACACACACAGATAGATGGATGGATGGATAGATAGATATATAGATAGATATGGTGTATGGGGGGAGAGAGAGAGATGGATGGGTGGATAGATAGATATGCTGTCTGGGGATAGAGAGACAGAGAGGGATATAGATAGAGGGTGTGAATGGGGATAGATGGATGGGTGGATAGATAGATAATGGTGTATGGGGATAGAGAGACAGAGAGGGAGATAGATAGAGGGCGTGAATGGGGATAGATGGATGGATGGATAGATAGATAATGGTGTATGGGGATAGAGAAAGAGAGAGAATGATCATTTTACTGTTACCCTGTCCCTCACCGTGTTTCTCTGGCTGCCCGTTATCTCATTTCACATGTCAGATTGTAACCTTTGGGGTGGAGACTGTCTTTTAAGTTCTTGCATTGATTGCACTATGGCGGGACATACCTAACCTTCATATCTCCTTGCTGGAGGCCCTGCTGTCCTGCCACAGCCCGCCCCAGGAATGAGCAGCCGTGGTGGGTCCTCTAGGCCTGCCTAGACAGGCCAAATGGAAGCATCCAGTCAGCTCCAGCTAAAGGTGCTTGACTGGCTGCATTTACTGGGCCTGAGAGAGACAGAGCCTGAGAATTTAACTCTAAAAGAATGTGTGAAGGAGAGCCAGTAGGAAGAGGCATGGAGAAGCAGCAGCAACCAATTAAAGGCTCTCTGGGTTGGACCCAGAGCAGAGGCTGGGGCGGGGGGGGCCCCTCCCCCCACACACCACTGGC